GGGATAAGAGAGAGGTCCCTAACTATAGACCAACCTGGGTGCTAAATGTGGTATATAAGATCCTCGCTAAGGCACTGGCCATCAGACTGGAGGACATCCTACCAGTCTTAGTGGGAAGAGAACAAGGCGCTTTCGTCAAAGGCCGATCGATATTTGAAAATATACTTTCCACACTACAGGCTCTGGAGATCCTGGACTCCAAACAAATGAACATCGCCATCCTCCTCCTAGACATGGAGAAGGCCTATGACAAGGTGGGGTGGGCTTTTGTCACTACCACATTAAGGAAGATGGGGTTTAGAGCGGGGTTCATTACGTGGGTGAGAGCTATGCATGTTGATGCCTCCTCAATGGTCATGGTTAATGGTAAGCTCTCTAGATCTTTCTCACTCACAAGATCCTTAAGACAAGGCTGTCTGCTAGCACCACTGTTGTTCATGATGCAATTGGAGGTACTGATGTCCAACATAAGAAACAAGGACGCGATTGTGAGGCTAAGTAACCCCCACACCCTTCAATGGAAAGGGGGAGCTCTGGCAGACGACCTCACGATCGCATGTTCTAATACACAACCCTCCATGATGGCCCTGAGGACGGTGCTGGATGAATATTGCGCCCTCTCGGAGGCATCTATTAACTGGGACAAGTCGACTTACCTCTTGCCTGCCCCCTACGTGATTTGCATGGACTGGGGCCTCAAAGAGGTCCCAACCAATAGCTCAGAAAGATTCCTGGGTGTCCAGGTGTCACTCAGGGAGTGTTCACACCAGCAGAACTCTCTCCTAGTGGAAAAGGTCACGGCAAGGATACTTGGCTGGGTACGCAACTTTAGACTCTCACTCTTCGGTAGAGCCCTAATCATTTCCTCTGCGGCATTTGAAATCCTCTGGTTTCCCTTAACAGTCCACTTGCTCGGTGATGACGCTTACCGTAGGATTAAATATGTAGCGGCCAGATTTCTCTGGAAGCCTGCAGCTTCAGACATCCAAGGGTATATCAGCAAGGTTGCATGGGAATCAGTCTGCTTCCCCAGAGAAGAAGGGGGCCTGGGAATCCTGGATCCCATCCAACAGAATTACGCGCTGTTGGCTAAATGGCCAATTCAAGCCATGTTCGAAACAGAAACTAAATGTTGGAGGGCGTTTGCAGTGTTCATTCTCATGGAAGAATGGGAGCTCTGTCACCATTCCCATGTTTGGCTGTGCTTCTTCATTAAATCGTACTGCAACAGACAGATCAAATCCAAGGTCTGGAAGAGTATATTACCAGCCTGGATCAAAGTAAGACCCACCCGGATTGCAGAGTCTGTCTCCCGCTCCCAGATAATGAATGAAATACTGTTTGAAAACGACCTGATAAAGTCACAGGAGGGGGCATCGTTCTTGGCTGATGCCAGCCCAGGTGCCTTCGGCAGGTCCGGGATAGAAAAAGGTATCATCCAGATCAGAGATATCTGGGACCCGGAAACTGGGGACTGGATTACCTTAGAAGTACTAAGGTCTAGAGCCCCAAGGCTCCATAAGCTCGATCTGAATTTCTGCAAGATAAAGAGGGCGATCCCCACACACTGGATAGCAGCCCTTAGACCAGGCTCAGTTTGGGCCCCAGGCACATGGTTAAAAGATCCAACAGAAAGCGGTACTGTGTGGAAGATCCTTGGACCCGATCTTAGATCAGGCACCAAGGCCCTGAAATGGACAATTCCCACCAGGGGCCACCAGGAGGGACCCCTAAAGCTCAGCGAAGAGGGTGTGATCGCCCCGACACCGGAATGGGAGGAAGTGAGGGTGCATGAAACCCTTTCCACCAAGAAAGCGCTGTGCTCTCTGCTCCCGTTGGAGGTAACCTCATTGAGAATGGAACCCCTCATTCAGGGCTGGATGCCCCGGGACACCCGGCCAATCATAGGAAAAGGACCACCAGCGGTCCCTATATTCAGCTACAAACCAAAAACAGGGGTTAAAAGCTTAAGGGCATCCAAGAAAAAGAAACCGCTGTCTGCATTGAAAAAGAGAGCAGCAGTTGCTCAGATTGCCATTCCGGAGGACGCTGATTTATACAAGTTCTGGAAGGGTCTGAAGAGACTTCCATCGCAGCGTAACGCTGCGATAATGTGGCTTGCAATCCATGAACGTCACATCTACGGCAGTTTGGCTAAAAGCCAGGGGCCTATCCGTCCCAGAAACCTGCAGCAGATGCAACTGGGCCTGGGAATCGGCCTCCCATCTCTGGCTGGATTGCCCCAAGTCATCGGAGATTTGGGAATGGTGGAAGGACAGATGGAGGCTCATGGGAGGGAACAACACAGACTGGCTTAACAAATACATCTTACAAGGCATAACAGAAAATGATGGCCCGCTATCGAGTGGTAAGAACTGTATATAGTCCTCCTGCAGGGGGATTATCCTGGAAGCCATTTGGTGGGCAAGGAACGATGTCCTTTTCAAGGGAGAAAACCACGTCAGACAACACATCTGCAACAAAATTCGGTCTGATCTTCGGACCACAGTAATATCGGATTGGAAAACCAAGAATTTCATATGGTTTGGTAGGACCTGGGCACTCAAAGGGTCCTTCGCATCCCTAAGCTCAGATGGGAACATGGCGTTGGCCAACTGGCTAAAGATCACCTGAGTCTCAGGGGCAAGCACGTCTCCCTTCCTGTTTGCACCACTTGGTTGTTTTGCATTCTTAGTCCAGTTGTCATTTTGTTATAAAGGAAGGTAGTTTGTTGGGACGCTGGACCCGGTTTCCAACTAGCCTAAGTTGGGTATTGGCCCCAGTTTTTCCTCCGGGTTGTCATGTGGAGGTTTTCCCGGCCTCCGTTTTAAATTGTTTGGAAATAAAGTTATCGAGTTCTTGAAAAAAAAAAAAAAAAAAAAAAAAAAAAAAAAAAAAAAA